GTGGTGTCTCTCTATGCCTCTGCCTCTGTCTCTCCGCCCCCCCCCCCCTTTCTGTCTTTGGTCAAACTATCTTTTCCCAGTTCACTTTACTAGTTCGTTCTCATATTTTCCAGCTCCAAACTCTAAAGAGTTGGAGCTTATTTCTTGGAAGTCTTCTCCTCCTTATTTACACTAACTCCTGAGACAATCTCAGTTGACTACAGGCTTTAAATGCCTGGGATATCAAAATTGATACCTCCAGGCTGGATTTCTATTTATTTATTTATTTATTTATTTATTTATTTATGTGTGTGGGGGGGGTGGGGGGTGTGTGGTGTGTGTGTGGCCAGCTCAGCCCACCAGGGGGCAGGGCTGGCTGTCATGTGGCGCTGGGGGATTGAACCCTGGTCCCTGGGCTTTGCTAAGCTTGTTCCAAGTAGGTGCTTTAGACCACTGAGCCATCTCACCAGCCCCAGGCTGGATTTCTTTGATTAACTCTACAGGTGTGGATCCAGCTATCCTCTCAATATCTCCATCTGAAAATCTAACAGAGTTCAAATTTAACATGCCTAAATTTAAACTTCTCATCTTTCCTTCTCCAAACTTGGTATTTCCTAAGAAATGGTCCTTATCAGTAAATGGCAATCCCATTCTTCTAGTTCTCAGGCCAAACACTGTAGAATCTTTTCTTTCTATTATATTCTGTATCAGATAACTATGTGCACTCTGCCTTCAAATATAAGGGAGTGGTGATGCACACCTGTAATCCCAGCACTCAGGAGGCTGAGGCAGAGTTTGAGACCTGGGCTATATGAAAGAATTCAAGGCCAGCCTGCATAAAGCAAGACCCTGACTCAAAAAACAACAAAGCAAAGCAAAACCAAAATGCACATTTGGAATCCATTCCTTCTTATCATCTCCATTGCTATTTCTTTGATCTAAAGTCATCATCATTTCTTATGTGGATAATTTTAACTGTCTCCTAACTTCCCTGTACTCCTGTCCTTGCCTCTATAACTTATTCTCAAAAAGGCAAAGTGGCCTTTTAAAACATTAGTTAGACCTGGTTGTGGTGATGGACACCTGAATCCCAGCAGTTAGGGTGCTGAAGTAAGAGGATTACCATGAGTTTGAGGCCAGCCTAGACTGCACAGTAAGTTCAAGGTAGTTTAGTTCTAAGATCCTATCTAAAACAAAAACCAAAAAAAAAAAATTAATTAGTGTCACTCTATGAGCTCATGAGTTCCAATGACCTATTCAGAGTAAAAGCTTAGAGCAGCCTATTAAAAATCTAGACCCTTGGGGGCTGGTGAGATGGCTCAGTGGTCTATAGCACCTACTTAGAACAAGCTTAGCAAAGCACAGGGACCACGGTTCAATCCCCCAGCACCACATGCCAGCCAGCCCCACCCCCGGTGGGCTGAGCTGCCCCCCCCATACATAAATAAAAAAATTTAAAAAAAAAAATTAAAAAATAAATAAAAATCTAGACCCATGATTCTTCACTCTTGCTTAACTTTGATATTTATTCAATGCCATATTCTCAACACTCAGAATAACTGCTGGTACAGAGTAAATGTTCAGTAAGTATATTCCAATTAAGGGCATCTGCATGCAATAAATTATCCATTTGGATTTACTTTAAAAAATTAAATATTCTTGAAAAGTAATTTAAGATACTCTTAAGTTTCTTTCTCTTTTGCTTTTTTGGCCGAACTGGGGATTGAACTCAGGCCCTTGTGCTTGCCAGGGAAGCGCTTATTCTACTGAGCCATCTCCCTGGCCCTATTCCTAAGTTTCTCAAGCAGAGGAAAAGTAACTAGACAGCAGTAATTTGGTAAAAGCAGAGAACATTTAGGATTTTCTGTTTCAAAGATGTTTACCCAAGCTCGCCTCCATGGAAGCTGTAGCAAAAGCAATACTTGAGCCTACATGTCAGAGGCCAGCCAGGGCAATATGGCAAAAACTCATACTCTTTTGAAAAAAGAAAACAGGAAAAAAAAAAAAAAAAAAAAAAAAAAAAAAAAAAAAAAGAAGAAGAAGAAAGGGAAGGGAAAGGAAGGGAAGGTGAAAGGAAAAAGAAAATTAACCTACGCATAGTGATGTCTGGAATTCCTATACTGTGAGATCATAATTTTGAGCCCAATCTGGGCAACCCCATGAGAACCTACATCAAAATTTAAAAATTTCAAGGGCTGGTTTCAATACCCATTGTCACATACACACACACACACCCATCTTACTTCTACTATCTCTTAATGTGACTACTTAAATCAAGTTATTCTAGAACTTATGAGGGGTAAATGATCAGGAAGATCCATAATATACAATGGTATAGTTCTGCTTACATTACTGGTTTTAAACTCAAGTTAGAATAACAGGGCTGCAGCTAATAGTACTCCAACTCTCTTAAGGACAAAAACCACATGTCATTTTATAATATCAATAGCTCAGTGACTGCAATGGCTGAGCCCTGGCACAGATACTGAGAGCAAAGGAGTTAAGGAAAGTTGAAAGTTGGTAAGCTGTGCTTATAGATTCAGAGGAAGAGGGGTAGTTTTGTGCTTCCATATGAAAAGTGGGAATGAAGGCAGCAAAAGTCTGAGTACCTCCGGAAGTGAAAGAAGCGGCAGGCCACAGTTGAGTCATCTTGCTCCTGCTCTTTGAACTTGCGATATCGCTCCAGGCGGCACTCACGACACTTGTGCAGGTGAGGGGCCACATTGATGCATGACCCATCCTGCAGGAAGGGCTCTCCAGACTGCTTCAGCTTCTTCACTTTGCTCACATCTTTCAGCACTGACTGGCCAACTAAGGCAAGAGGGAGAAGGATATCATGAGGTGTTATGACACAATTCTCTTAGGAGAAGACATTTGTTCTGACCTGGGCTGCTACCCATTGTGTACCAAGAAAGGGAAGCAAGGAGCCAATGGGCTTCAATAGGGAGCTAAGATCCACGTAAGACTTGTAGGAAGTATACTATGTAGTGAAACCACTCTGGGTATGTGTGGTTAAAATCTGCCTCCAGTCCCTTAGGACTGAAGGTTACTCTGTTTATCAAGGTCTCTTGGCCTTCAACAAGCTACTGCTGTTAATGAAAACTGCTACTCTCATCACCACACTTTCTGTTACACACTTCTGGGTCAGAACCTTCGTAAGCTAATGGACATGTATAGAAATGTTAAAATCCTTACATATGTTTCAGAGAGGTGCAACTGAAGCAGGTGAAATCTCTGATTCAAGCCCAGAGACTGGTACCAGGGATTGAACTCAGGACTTTGTGCTTGTCAGGCAGGTACTTATGCTGCTGAGCTATAACCCTGGCTTAAGCCCAGAAATTGAATGGGGAATGGAAACCAGTTTTCAATAACTACCTGAAATAAACTTTAAAAGGATGAAGTAGAGATTAGATAAACACAAGGACATAGTTCCTGACCAGAAGTAACAAGACTGATGAGAAGGTCAAGATGCTCTTATGGACAGATGAAAACCTGCCTGGCACTCTGCACTGGTGTAGCAAGAGGCTCTGGTGGGCCTTTTTGGCTCCTTAATGTACCAGATCATAGAACTTGCCATTAAAATGAGGGCCAAGGGGGCCTGCCCCTTAGCTCAGTTCTTTAAATGGCTGCTTCAACAAAGCAGTCAGGCTCAGGTTGCTGTGGTTCCATCCCTACAACTCAAGCCAGCCAAACCTGCCCAAAAGGCATTCGGAGCAAAAAA